AATTCTTATTAAAAACAAAATTCAAGTGCATTTATTTGAAATAGGAATTACATTTGAGAATTGAGAAAAAAATAACAATATGAAACACATTTTTTTTCTTTAAAGAGAAATGTAACAATTAACTAATTTAATAGATAAATGAGAAGTCTAACAATTAACTACTTTTATAAAATGTATGAATGTGTATAAGTATATATAGTTTATATAATGTGTAAATATATTATAAGTAATATATAATATAATGTTTATAGTATATAATATATAAGTATATTACTATAAGATGAGTAATACACTTATACTTAATACTTTAATATATATATATATAAGTATATATTAACTAAATGTAATATGTAAATATAAGTAAATAACAATAGTATGGATAATAACTAAATATGAATGTGTATAAGTATATATAGTATATATAATGTGTAAATATATTATAAGTAATATATAATATAATGTTTATAGTATATAATATATAAGTATATTACTATAAGATGAGTAATACACTTATACTTAATACTTTAATATATATATATATATAAGTATATATTAACTGAATGTAATATGTAAATATAAGTAAATAACAATAGTATGGATAATAACTAAACATCAAGTAAATATGAATGTGTATAAGTATATATAGTATGTATAATGTGTAAAGAATTATAATATGAATGTGTATAAGTATATATAAGTATATATTTATAAGTAGATAAATAATATATAAGTAGATATAATAATTACATAAATTATATATATGTAGAAAGAATTTGGAGAAGATGAAGAATGAAGACGATTGAATATGAGAGATTGAGAGAATAGAGAATTAGAGAGTAGGAAGAGTTGTAGAAGAAGAGGTGTAAAAAAAGTATAGAAAATAGGAGTATAAATAGGTTTTTTTGTATACCCCACCCCCCACCCCCACCCACAAACCCCCCAGGCCCCCCCCTCCTATGCCCCCAACGGCTATAGAGCCGTTTGGGAACCGTCCCAACGGCTATAGAGCCTTTAATTATTTAAAAAAAATTAAAAAAATATGGCCGTTGAAGGCCCGGCCGGGCCGGTTCACTAATATGGAGGCCCGAGCCCGGACCGCTACCAGACCGGGCCGGGTGGCCCGAACCGGCACCCAGACCGGTTACCGGGCCGGGCCGGGTACAAACAGTACCGGTCCGGGTCGGTTTCGGGCCGGTTTCGGGCCGGTTGGCCCGACCCGAGTCCACTCCTACCCATAAGTTAAGAAAATGGCTTCTTAGCTTCTCAATCTTTTTTTAACTTTTATGAAGTGTTATTAAATGATTTAAATCTATTTACATACCCTCACCAAACCAAGTCTGCTTCCCTAGCAAATTTACTACGTAATACAAAAAATGTTTCAAACACCCATGTGAGTCGTCAATAGAGTAACAATTTAATTTCTATCATCATTGATTCTATTCTTTATCAGACTATGTGCATGTTTGGTAGACATAAGTCTCAGGGCCGTCTAGACCAATTGTGAGGCCCTAGACAATCATATAGACGTTTTGTTTCTTAGTACGTATAAATTCATAGAGCCGACAAACGATTTTATAATCAAGTCATTTGTTACTTTGTTCTTCTCTTTATACACCATGAATCAAGTTTTCGTTTTCCCGTCACCACAAAACCTACAATTCCATTCAAAATAATACTACCCACGTCCTACTAATATTGAGACATGAGAAGGATATGTGGTTATTAAAAAAATGCGTTGATATGGTTGATATTGATTGAATTGATAAAATAAGAAAAAGTAAGAATGACTTAAAACCACATAAATTGTATCAAATTTGATTGAGAAATCTTAATAGGACGGACCGAAAAGAAAAGATTGGGCAATCTTAGATTCTTAGGATGAAATTATAAATAATTAAGTAAATGCTTCGAAAATACAAATTTACTGCTCATCATAAATAAGATACTAAGATTATAAATATTCAATGTGTAATCAAACTCACATATCACAATTCAACTGCAAAAGAATTTTGCACACCCAAATGAGTAATTGAGTTGTTTGAGTAAATAAATAGATTTGTGCATCGATAATTTATACTTGGTATTGCACTTACTGTAATACAATTGAATTCTTGTATACCTAGACCCTACTCCCTAGCCACAAAAAATTGAAAAAAAGAACTAAACAGCTAAAGCTAAACGATGTACAATCTAACAAAAGTAATCCACTAAATGAAATGAACTAAATCAAATTGTTAGAAGAACTACAAAGCCTAAAGTTTAAAGGCCGAAGTGTTGAACTGCCATTTGTCGCTTGGCATGTGCGGTCTAATTGCAGAATAATAATTAATTAATGGAAAACTAATTATTAATTTTCCTACTCCCCGCTTGCCAGATGCTACTCACCACCATTCCTACTCGTCTTGCATGTCCGACTTTTTCATACAAGAACTTATATTTAATTAGAAATCTGCAATTTAGATTAAATTAAGTACGCATATACTACCTCCGTTCTTAAATAAATGCAACACTTTGACTTTTACACTATTCACATATTCTACTTTGACTACGTTTTATTTATTAATGTAATAATATTATTTTATGAAAAAAATATTGTTAAACTTGTCTCATTGTAAATTTTCATAATCTAATTTTTTTAATTTTTTTACTAATACAAAATCATTTATATTAATGGTCAAAGTTGTGTCTCGACAAGTGTGAAATGTTGACCGTTGCATTTATTTAAGAACGGAGGAAGTATATATTAGTAATAGGCTTATTTTTAAAATTGGAGGCCCTTGAAATTTGGGGGCCCTAGACACTTGTCTAGGGAAAATGCCCCCATGGCCGGCCCCGATAAGTCTTTACCTTCTTGTTTTTGTATTATTTAAAAAGTCTCTAAAACTTTCTAGATGTATGTTTGGCATAACAATTTTTAAGAGTTTTTTGAAAATTAAAAGATCTTTTCTGAGATGCTACAAGGAGTAACATCTGAGAAAATCTCGTGACTTTTAGTACTAATTAGGCCGAACAGCTTGTATATCAAACAAAACTAAATCAAAAAGTCGACTTTTTACCAAAAAGCCACCACCTTTTTTTAAGATCTTTTCTGTCACTAAGGGTAACAGTTAATAAAAAGATCACAAAAATATCTTTTCAAATAGGTCAATGATCTGAGTGCACTTATGATGTTTTCTTTTGAAATGAAATTTGTTAGTTTGGTAAATATCTGATCTCTGTGTATTTTATAACTGTATAAGTTTGATATCATCTGTTTAAATCTAGCCTGGTCTGTTTAAGTCTAGTCTGATCTGGTCTGGTCTGGTCTAAGACTGAAAACAGTTCAAAAGAAAACATCCTTAAACGAACTAGATATGAGTTGGCATTTCAATGATGCCTTTATTTCGCCCTAACTATATTACAAATATGTTAAGTGTACAAACTTTGTATACACTTTTGCACTCTGTAAGTGTCGGGTGTTTTTACTGTGTACCAATCTCTCTCTTTCTCTCTTTCTCAATAGGAACATACTTTCTTGTTTGTACTTTTTTTTTTATCTTCATCATCTTTTCCTCGCTTTATCTTTCGTTATCCCTTTGTTTTGTTTTTTGTTTTTTTTCTTTATCCCTTTGTATTCATACTTCACCTTCAACACCATCTTCATCATCTTTCCTTGTCATCTTGACTTTTTTCATCTTCTAGGATTGAAAAAATAAATGAAGTTTGAGAGTCTTCGGGAAGTTGTCGTAAAATGAGACCACCTTCAAATTTTTTGTCTATATCATCTACAGAATTTTGTCTGTGTCAGGCTAAATAGTGATATAATTGTCTTTCAAGAAAAATAAAATTGATAAACTAGTAAAATTTTATAAAGTTATGCCATTAACAAAAAAATTTATGTATAGAGACACTGATTGTTTGTGTATAGACATTAGCTTTCCACTACAGGCAAAAATGTTACACACATATAAAAAAGTGTACAAGTATAAACATTTTTTTGTATATAGACAACTAATGTTTGTGACTTTGTGCACATACATTGGTTTTTATGAAACTAAGCACGGATGTGTTTGTAAAAATAGCACACAAACCATTATGAGTTGCTCTCAAAATCAATGTCTGCATACAAACACATACATTTTTTCTGTGCCCAAACATTTCTATAAAATTTTCTGATTTTTCAATTTAATTTCTTCACACATACAAATTTTATCAAAATTTAGGGCGACCCAAACAATATTTTACTAATGGCACAAAAATAAATTTGACCACATTTGCGATCACTCCAACTCCGGTCCGATCTTGAAAAGTGATGATGGAGTAGATAAGATGAAAGATGACACAAGATGATATGGTAAAGGTGGAAGGTGATGAAGGTGAAGGATGAAGAAGAAGGGGATGAAAAAGACAAAAATGATGAAGAAGAGAGATGATTGATATGGAAGGTGGTGAAAACTGAATGTGAGATGGAAGATGATTGATTGATGGATCCAAACTATATTATTAGTAGATTTGTGTATGAATATGAGTTAGGGTTACAAAATCTCCCAAGAAAGTTTATATAAAGAGTGAGTTAAACTGATAATATGGACCCAAAGGCTCAACTACATTAAATATCTAATATCAATTCAATGATATATAGATTAAATGCTAATCTATCAGATATAATGAAAATAAGATGTGCAATAATAAAAATGATTTTTGCTCAACGAGCGTGGGGTCCATGTTTTTATACTCTATCAATAAGGGTATTTGATAACAACAATGGTTGATGTACTCCCTCTTATACCCAACATGTTTGTGAGAGTTTTTTTTTTTACTATGGACCCGATTCACAGACAATATTTTGTTTGTGCAAAACATTGTTTGTGAACCCCGGTTCACAGAAAAAAAACACTTCACGAACATAGGTGAGTATAAAAGTGAGTATAAGAATGAGAACAAAACACGAATGAAAGAAGTTAGAAACTATTCTTCAAATCGAATCCAATCCCCGGTTTGGTTGATTCAATCCGAACCCGGTTCTACTGACATTGTTCCCGTGTTCCGCTATATAAACCATCAAGAAAAAGAGTGGACCCACACCCATTCGATGGCAGCTTCACTGAGACCTACGCACTTCCTTCAACTCAACAACAGCAACCAAAGCCGCCGTTCCTTCTTTACCCAAACAATAAAGCTTTCTCGCCAACTGCTTAGTCCACCTATGGCTGCTCTCAGCACCGCCGTAGCCCCCGGCCTTTCTGAAACTTTTACCAGGCTCAGGCAACAAGGCAAAGTAAGGCACCCACTGTTTGATTTATCCTATCCCATTTCAAAATCCTCAATTTTTCTTGTTTTGATCTAGGGTTTTCCATTGGTGCGAATTTGCCACTGCATTCTTTGATGTTAAATTCACTCAGAGTTAAAAAACGGGATTTCGTGGTTGTAAATTGTTTTTGGAGGGTATTTTTTATTATAAAATTCCTCTCATAGAAATGTTATATAAATATAAGATCTTTATGAGGTTCTTTAACAAATTTTATTGCATTGTAGATGCCCATGTACTATTGACTGAATTTATTTACTTTTCTTTCTATTTTTCCCCTCTGGAACTGACAACTGGTATTGCTTACATTTGAGAGGTCGCATTGATTCCATATATCACTGCTGGTGATCCAGACCTATCAGTCACTGCAGAAGCACTTAAAGTACTCGATTCTTGTGGTTCAGATATAATTGAGCTCGGGGTTCCTTATTCTGATCCTCTTGCTGATGGCCCTGTTATACAGGTTCCCAATATGATGATTTCCTTAGCTATGTACATTTCCATTTTCATCTCTTCAGAGTTAACATCATTTTCCCCATTTGTAATTGGTCGTTTTAGGCCGCTGCTACTCGTTCGCTGCAGAGAGGAACCAATTTTGACAAAATAATAACAATGTTAAGAGAAGTAAGTTATTTTCTTTCTGTGCGCATGTAGGAACAAGGTATCAAAGAAGATTGCTTTCTACAAGGATCACATTGTCTACTTATATTTACAATATTCTTAGTGGTTTCAGTAATTTAGTCTTGTTTTTTGTTCTTGGATTATTATCTTGTCAATTGTCCTTCAGAGTCCTAATATTGTACAATTATTTTCCCAGGTTGTACCTCAGTTGTCCTGTCCAATTTGCTTGTTCACCTATTATAACCCTATTCTTAAGCGTGGCATTGAGAAGTTCTTGGACACTGTTAAAGATGCTGGAGTGCAAGGTATATAGTTCAATAATGCTATCTTGGCCTCTTTCACTCTTTGAGCTCTGTCATGATGATTTTGCAGAAAGAGTGTGCGTAGGGTGTGTATATAATTTCGTTCAAATAAAAAGCTGTTCTTGGATGAAAAGTAAAATCTAATTATGATTACTGATGTAAACAATTGGATGGTAAATATAAAGAACCTTGAGTGATAACACAATGGCAAAAGAGTATATGTATTTAAAAAAGTGCAACATATTCCGGAATAAAATGTGCATAAGTTAGAAAATATGATAACCATTTTTAACGCTCATGGATACACTTAAACCTTTGAACATTAAAGTTTCACATATTTATTATTTTCCCTCCGCTTCTTTTAATAAAAAATCATCTAATCAATCTATTTTCAAGATTAAAGGACAAAATTTATTCTCATTTTTATGGGAAGACTCCTTTTCACTTGAACATTCCCCTACACGTGTGTGGGTTTATATGACTTGGTTGGACTTTCAAACGGACAACCAGGATAAATATTCAAGGGCTGCTAGATATGGACTTTGAAGTCGACAACAGGACAAATGAAGTGGTCTAAATCTTGCTATGACAGCATGATAGAATTTAGGATTGGGTTGGGGACTGAGACTCAACTGAGCTATAACATACTGGGTCCAAACCACACTAGGAGATTAAATTCAACCTATTTGCTAGTTTAACCAAAGGTTTTATCAACACTAGAATCTCTTGACACACACACACACACACAGTTGTGGCAGAAATTCATGATGTTGAATTTTTCTTGTAGTTTCATATATTCCACTGATCTTTCAATGTTTATTGTAAACATGTAATGCTTCTTTAGTGTCTTTTCCTTGCAAGATAACTGTAGGATCTTATCTCAGTATCACTGTATCTTTCAGGGCTTGTGGTTCCAGATGTTCCTCTTGAAGAAACTGAAGTCTTAAGAAGGGAAGCTTCTAAGAAAAAGATTGAATTGGTTTGTTTTTCTTTTGAAGTTCCATGTTAATGCTTCAGATTTCTGAGAGTATAATTTGAAAGCAATAGCTTCAAAGTTCAGCTTATCGTTGATGGAGAATTAAAATAGGAAATAGAAAACCCCATGACTTTTCAGGATTCGATGTCACACTAATCATTAAATGGAAAAAAATGTGATGGCTGAGATTTATGTTTGTATTTGTGTTATATTTGGGTGGTATTTCACTATTTCGCCAGTAACATCTAGTTTTCTATAGAGTTCTGTTGCATTCTTTACACTTCACTTCCAGATTTCACAGCATTATTTATTTTCATTAACTATTTGTTTGAATCATGTGCACTTTTTCTAAAGCTAGGTTATAAGTCCCCTCAGCAATTTTTAATTCCGTGTGTCTTATTTTTTAGGTTTTGCTCACAACGCCAACCACTCCAACATCGAGGATGAAAACGATTGTTGAATCCTCCGAGGGATTTGTATACCTTGTAAGATTGTTATTTTCTGTAATTACTTAGTTCTTTGGTTCATTTCTTTTTGTTTTTGGATTTATATGTGCACGACTGCACAAGGGCGTAAATGTGTTAAAACAATTGCTCCAGGGAGACTAAGTATAAAATAACGAACTAACATATGCGACATTAAGTTACTCATGGTATCAGGTTTTGACTTTTTAAGAAGAATATAAAGTCTGAATATTTTATCATAAGTAGAGTGCCCCACATGAAAAATATGCATGATCTAGATAAGTGTTAGTCCCTCGGATGTTGAGGGTGTGGGCTCTTATAAAAAACTGTTGTACCTGTAAGGGGTGTTGTCTTATGAAATGCTGGGTCGTGAAGGGGTGTTTAAATAACTTTTCTCATATTGGTGGGTATAAAGTAACAAACCAACATGTAAGGCATTGAACTACCCTTATTAAGTTGACCTTTTAGTATGAAATCCCAAACTCAAACATTACATAATTTCGTGTATCTGCCAATATGTCTCAAACTGATGCTTATGCTACATTCGTACATTCTACTTTGTGATATCGTCATTATTCATTTCTGCTTATGCAAGGAAAGCTTATTGTTTATTGTACCAAATAATAGGTGAGCACGGTCGGAGTGACCGGAACTCGTGAATCTGTGAGTAACAAGGTTCAGTCCCTTTTGAAGGAAATTAAAGAGGTTTGTCTATTTTACTTTCCACCTCTAGTGACTTACCGAAGTAAATATATGCTGTGATATTCAGATCCTTCAAACTTATATGTTCACTTTCCTAAATTTGCTCCATAATTACTGCTTTTAGTGCACAAGAAACTTCTTCATGCATCTCTATCATGTTTTCACTAACTCTGTTTTTTTCAGTTGTTTTTCTCATAAAAAGAATTAAGAAACGAATTATGTGCTCAGAGTTGCCCTAAAAAAAATTGTTGTACAAAATAGTAGCAGTCTTCAAGACCTTCTCCAATCGGTTAATGTGCTCAGTTTTCTCTTCTCTTGATCAGATTGAGTTCCTAGCTCTATTTAATATAAAGGGAAAAGTGTCAGATAGGTCCTCGAACTTACATAAAAAGGTCAAATAAGTCCTTATATAGAAAGCTCTGTCCGGCCGTCGCCATTTGGGGCACTTTCCTGTAGAATTTTTTGATGAAATTTTTGAGCATCTTATTCATTAAGTCTAGTTTACTTATATCAAATTTCAGCTAAAACTTCAATCGGGAAGACATTCAAATTAATTCTTGAAGATAATTGTGCTTTTAACTGTGCAGTTATCTTCAAGAATTCATTTGAATGCCTTCCCGATTGAAGTTTTAGCTGAAATTTGGTATGAGACTTAATGAATAAGATACTCAAAAAAATTTATAAAAAAATTCCACCGGGAAGCACCCCAAATGGCGACGGCCGGAGCCTCCTATATAAGGACCTATCTGACCTTTTCCCTAATATAAATGATCTTAATCTGTAAGTCCATGGTAGTGGTTAATAACATGCTTAATTCACAGGCAACGTCCAAGCCAGTAGCAGTCGGGTTCGGTATATCAAATCCTGAGCACGTGAAGCAGGTTTGTCTAATAATTAATTATGAAATACCGAGTACATAATAATTCTTCTTTAATGGCCAAATAAGTAGAGCATTATCAGACCTGTGATTTAGTACTGAAGGAAATTTGGGTTGCAGGTGGCAGCATGGGGAGCAGATGGGGTGATTGTTGGAAGTGCAATGGTGAGAATATTAGGCGAGGCCAAATCACCTGAAGAAGGGCTCAAAGAATTAGAATTCTTCACAACATCGCTAAAATCCGTGCTGCCTTGATTTTACTTCGACATGTGTTGACATCAAATTGGTGGAATATTCTAACCAAGTTAGGACTTAGGTTCCAAAATAAAAATCAATAGGTATGTCTCATCACTTCCCATAACAAACAAGTTGGAGGATGCTTCAGGCTTGTGACAGGGATTATGGTCACATTCATCATCTCAAGATAGTTGATTGTAACCTATGGTCTTAATTTAATTTTGGTTACAAGGGGTTTACCACATGAGCTAATTTTATAAAAAATACTACGTATGTGATCTAGAAAGACAATTATGCCAACATTGTTTTAAATACTTGCAACTAAGCAACCAAAAACATTATTGGTGAACAATAATTTAGTTAGCTCAATTTTCTATATTTTTATTTTGACGGGCTTTTTGAAGCTTCTCTTTACCTATCTATTTTTTCTGAAATGATTCTTTTTTATCGTGTTGTTTATTTGGATAACACACAACATATAGCTTGGTTGATGGATACGGAATTTAATTGTGATAAATTGTCTTCAAAAAATGGAAATATTATGGTTACAAGGAAATAGACTATATTTTTTAAGGAAATAGAATATATTATCTCATAAAGTATAAAGTATAATCCTAATTTCATAAAAAAAATATGTGATAAAATTATCTCGATCTAGAAAGACTCATGCCAACATTATTTTAAACATTTAAACACTTGCAACTAAGTAACCAAAAAACATTATTAGTGAACAATAATTTAAAACTATCGTTCAAAACATTGTGCTTAATACTACCTTTATGGCTTTATCCATGTGGCTCAAAGACCCAACGCATTTCATTGGTCTTTCCTATGATCTTTTATGATTAGTATATTTGCTGAATGATTTAAGCGATTATGAACTTATGAAGGCAGAAGCAATAAGTTGAATTATAACACAAAAAGGTAAAGTGGGTCAAGTTCTATTATAACACATCCCTATCAAGCCTGAATCTCGACCCTCCAACTCTAAGTTGAGAAGATTACAAAAGAATATAGAGAGAATCTAGACTATTCAATGCAAGTTAATCAATTCTTTACTATGAAATAAATGCAGTATTTATACTGCAATGTAGAAGGTGTGGGGGCTAATGTGTTGAACACAAGATGGATAGTCTCCAATTATAAACTCTCATATTTGGTGTATTGAGGATATTTTCTTATGGACTGTTTTCAGCCCCAGACCAGATCAGACCAGACTTCCGTAGTATGGCTGGACTCGGGCCGGTTCGGGCCCGGTTCGGGCCTGGGCCCGGCCGGGCCTCGGGCCAGAAAACTAGGGCCCGGGCCCGAACCGCCGGTGGGCGGTTCCGGTTCCGGTTCCGGGCCAAACCGGGCCGGGCCGGGCCGGGCCGAACCGGCCCACTTAATTTTTTTTTTTTTTGGTCTCCTATTTAATCCCCTACCCCTCCCCCTCAACCCCAAACCATCCCAAACCACCTCAAATGGCCCAAAATACCTAATCCAACCTAAAACTTAAAAAAATTTCAAAAAAAAAAAAAAAAAAAATTAAAATCCGGCCCGGACCGGGCCCGAACCGGCCGGGCCGGTTCACCAAAACCTGGGCCCGGGCCCGAACCGCCCAGCAGCCGGGCCGGGCCGAACCGAACCGGTGGACCCACCGGGCCCCGGGCCGGGCCGGGCCTAACAGTAACCGGGCCGGGCCGGTTCCGGGCCGGGCCGCCCGGCCCGAGTCCAGCACTATTCCGTAGTTATAAAATACACAGAGACTAGTACAGTACCCGTGCATACGCACGGGAAATAATAATCGGTGCATATATTTTTACTCATGATCTAATTAAATATTAAAACAAAAATAACTTTTTAGGATTCTACATTTTAGAAGACAAAAAGTGTACGATAAGCCAATATCATAAAGTATAAGCCATACAATAAATATTTATGAAGAGTATATTAGGGAAAATTAATTGAGAATTTGCCATCTATTAGTTTTCATGATTAAATTAATTTTAAAATAAAATATAAATCTATAAAAGTACAATAAGTGAATGACATAAAGTTTAAGTGAATACAACAAATATATTAATCAATATTAGTCCCCCTCTTCATTTTGTACCTCTTTTTTATTCTAATAAAAACTGGCAAATGTTCCCCGTCATTTGCACCACCATAAGGTGGTTTACCTACCGGGCCCAAAAAAATTAGTTAAATAAGAACTTGCTAATCATTTGTTAAAACAATGCTAACATATGAGAGAAAAAACATATGAGAAAAAAAATTATTCCGTTCAATTGCTAGCAAAATTATCTTCTAATATTCTATCTAATACCTAAAAGCACTGTATTATTCCGCTCAATTCTCCTACACAATTGTTAGCAAACTTATCTTCTAATACCTAAAAGATATTAGATAAGAGAAATTTCTCCCGCTCAATTATTAGCATGCTTATGTTCTTATACATAAAACTATTACATATGAGAGGAAAAATTATCCCGCTCAATTATTACCAAATCTATCTTCTTATACCTAAAATTACTACATATGAGAGAGAAAATTCTTCCGTTCAATTGTTAGCCGACTTATCTTATACAGTTTTACCTAAAAACACTACATATGAGAGATAAAATTTCCCCGCTCTATTCTTAGCCAACTTACCTTATACTTAAAAGAACTACTCCCTCCGTCCCACTAAGATTGTCCCAGACACTATTCACTCGGTCAACACAAATCATTCTTAATCTCTTACTTTATTTATCAAAATTTTATCAAATTTGATTCTGATTTTTGCGACTTTGTAAAGATTTAAATGTAGTTTCTGGATATGTAATTTTTATTTTCTAAAAATAACTTGAGTTGGGACAGGGATCAATTTGCTTTATCATCGGTCAAACATCGTAAACCGAATTATCCCAAACATAGTGGGACAGAGGTAGTATATATAGAGAGAGAAAGTTTTTCCGCTCAATTGTTGGCAAACTTATCTCCTATAATACCTAAAATCACAACATATGAGAGAGAAAATTATCCAGCTCAATCGTTAGCGAGCTTATCATTTATTTTCTAATACCTAAAAGCACTACATATGAGAGAGAAAATTATTCCGCTCAATTCTCATGCTCAGTTGTTAGCAAACTTATCTTCTAGCATATGATAAGAGAAATTTCTCCCACTCAATTATTAGCATGCTTATGTTCATATACATAAAACTATTACATATGAGAGGAAAAATTCTCCCGCTCAATTATTAGCAAGCTCATTATCTTCTTATTCCTAAAACTACCACATATGAGAGAGAAAATTCTTCCGCTCAATTGTTAGCTGACGTATCTTATACAGTTATACCTAAAAGCACTACATATGGGAGATAAAATTTTCCCGCTCAATTCTTAGCGAACTTATCTTATACTTAAAAGAACTATATTTAGAGAGAGAAAGTTTTTCTGCTCAATTGTTGGTAAGCTTATCTCCTATAATACCTAAAATCACTACATATGAGAGAGAAAATCTTCTCACTCAATTGTTAGTGAACTTATCTAATGCCTAAAAGCACTACACACGTGAGAGAAAATTATCCCGCTCAATTGTTAACCGGCTTTTCTTATTCTTAAAAGAACTATATATGAGAGAGAAAGATTTCTCGTTCAATTGTTAGCAAGTTTATCTTCCAATACCCAAAAGCACTACAAATGAGAGAGAGAATTTGTTCGCTCAATTGTTAGCCGGTTTATTTTCTTATACCTTAAAGCACTACATATGAGAGATAAAATACTTCCGTTCAATTATTAGCCGACTTATCTTATTTTATACTTAAAAAAATTGATTATGAGAGAGAAAATTATCCCGCTCAATTATTAGTCCACTTAACTTATACCTAAATATACTACATATGGGGGGATTCTTCCGCTCATTTATTAGCCCGTTTAGATTATATCTAAAAACACTACATATGAGATAAAATACACTCTTACATTTATTAGTACGCTTATCTTATAACTCAACATACTACATATGAGAGAGAAAATCATTTCGCTCAATTATTATTTCATTTATCTTATCGTATACGTAAAAGCACTACATGTGAGAGAGAAAATTCTCCCGGTCAATTATTAGTTCGCTTATCTTATATCTAAAAGACTACATATGAGAGAGGAAATTCTTCCGCTCAATTATTAATCCTCTTATTATACCTAAAAGCACTACGTATGAGAAAGAAAATTCACCAACTCAATTGTTAGTTCGCTTATCTTATCTTATATGAAGTTACTAAAAGCATTAAATATGAGAATAAAGTAATTCTCATATTTATTTATCAAAATTTTATCATTCTTAATCTCTTACTTTATTTATCAAAATTTTATCAAATTTGATTCTGATTTTTGCGACTTTGTAAAGATTTAAATGTAGTTTCTGGATATGTAATTTTTATTTTCTAAAAATAACTTGAGTTGGGACAGGGATCAATTTGCTTTATCATCGGTCAAACATCGTAAACCGAATTATCCCAAACATAGTGGGACAGAGGTAGTATATATAGAGAGAGAAAGTTTTTCCGCTCAATTGTTGGCAAACTTATCTCCTATAATACCTAAAATCACAACATATGAGAGAGAAAATTATCCAGCTCAATCGTTAGCGAGCTTATCATTTATTTTCTAATACCTAAAAGCACTACATATGAGAGAGAAAATTATTCCGCTCAATTCTCATGCTCAGTTGTTAGCAAACTTATCTTCTAGCATATGATAAGAGAAATTTCTCCCACTCAATTATTAGCATGCTTATGTTCATATACATAAAACTATTACATATGAGAGGAAAAATTCTCCCGCTCAATTATTAGCAAGCTCATTATCTTCTTATTCCTAAAACTACCACATATGAGAGAGAAAATTCTTCCGCTCAATTGTTAGCTGACGTATCTTATACAGTTATACCTAAAAGCACTACATATGGGAGATAAAATTTTCCCGCTCAATTCTTAGCGAACTTATCTTATACTTAAAAGAACTATATTTAGAGAGAGAAAGTTTTTCTGCTCAATTGTTGGTAAGCTTATCTCCTATAATACCTAAAATCACTACATATGAGAGAGAAAATCTTCTCACTCAATTGTTAGTGAACTTATCTAATGCCTAAAAGCACTACACACGTGAGAGAAAATTATCCCGCTCAATTGTTAACCGGCTTTTCTTATTCTTAAAAGAACTATATATGAGAGAGAAAGATTTCTCGTTCAATTGTTAGCAAGTTTATCTTCCAATACCCAAAAGCACTACAAATGAGAGAGAGAATTTGTTCGCTCAATTGTTAGCCGGTTTATTTTCTTATACCTTAAAGCACTACATATGAGAGATAAAATACTTCCGTTCAATTATTAGCCGACTTATCTTATTTTATACTTAAAAAAATTGATTATGAGAGAGAAAATTATCCCG